TCATGTGTGACAAGCGTGCTCTATGTTACTAGGATCGAAAAGTTGAAAGCGTCGTCAATGGGTTAAGAGGGTTGGAGAATTTTAGCTCAGTTGAGCGTAGGAAGATGAATAATTTGTGTTTGCAAGGTGGAGTCTAATAACTCCATTCGAGTAACTTGTGCGGAGTACGGCCAGGGGAAACCTGTTCCAGGCACGATAGTGAACGGCGCCAGAATAGCAGAGAAACGAGTGTTAGCTCAACTCAAACTGCCTTCACTTTTTAACTCCGCCGCTTCTAACTCGCCGTTTACTATTTCGCCCTGTTTTCGTTATTGAACGTCTGGAACATGTTAGGTGATGGGTCGAAACGTTTGCAAACTATAACACCAGGGGTGCGGAGAATGTGCTACTCCCTCACTGAAACCTGAATTCCTCTTTATATTCCTTTTAAAATGTTTCTTTTTCTTCTTCCTTTCCTTTTTCAGTGTACAGAACGGTAAACCAGGTAAGGAAAATTTTCTCTGTAGATAATTTTTACAGCAGTTTTTTTTGCGTTAATTTTTTTCTCATGTTCTGCGTCAAGCAAGTTCATTACACTTACAGTGCGATTTATACGTTAAGGTTCATTTTATGGCTTGAGTAGACATGCTACTCTGGTAAACAGCATAACAAAGCCTTTAAATTTCCCTGACCTACAATTGGTCTTTGTTGCTGGGGGTTTTCTGTGCGTTTCGAAGCGTCCAGCGGAGGTGGAGTGAAAGCAACCGGCGAAGCCGAGAGTAGTTTGGAACGGAAAGTAGTAGATAGTTTTTCCACCCGAACCTTCGCTGCTTGTTTTCGCTGCTCAACCGCCCTTATTTTCATCGAGCGCCCAAAAGAGAGTGGTGTAATGTATTAGTACTTGTATTCTGCGCTGAAGAGTATTTTTTTTTGGAGCCACCTCACGAGCAATAAAGTACGCCTCTCGCACGCACGCACGCTCGCTCGCTCGAATCTCTCGAGCTAAAATATGGCACAGAAAAGGACGTGCAATTACAGGAGATATTTCACTTTAACTCTAGCCGTTTTTTTATGTACAGCTTTTGTTTGTTGTCATGAACTAACTTTCTCTTAACTTTTATATTTGTTTATGCGTAATTCACTTCGCCTTCCTTGTTTTGCTCTCTGTTATAATTATAGAAAGAGATGCCTTCGACGCGCTTTTTGACAATGCCCCTGAAAAGCTGAATGTTGTAAAAAAGGTACTGTACTTGATATTACTGTATGCAGTTCAATCTAAGTAAGAGATTCAAATGAGCATATCAGTTTCCACATTACTAAAGCAAGAAGAGTGCATCAGAGAATTATCAGTGAATTATATTCAAGACATCATGTACAGAAATCAGAATATTGGGCGGCTAGTTCCCGGTTACTTTTAGGCGACGGTATTCCTGAAAGAGACTTAAGTCGGTGATATTGACAAACGGTGCGACATCTTGAATGGAAGTCATCATCTGAGATTTGATTGCTGTTTAGGTCATCGAAATCTCAGTCACTGGCATTGATCACAGTCAACTTTTCCTGGGCGATCACATCACTCGGTTGACTAGTACTCACGGGTTTAAATCATTCACTGAGCAGACAATGGAAATTCAGTGCGCGAGAATAACTGAGTTAAAAATTTAATACTCAATGCCGAGGTTTTCAAGCCGAAGAGGTTAATAAAGGTGTTCAGTTAACAGGAATATGAATTTTTGTGCGTGGGGACGCGGTGGCCTTATCTTTAGTAAGCTGGACTCCGGGTCGCGCGATTTGTGACTTGGTTGCGTTCTTGGGTGGAACACCTTACTTTCACAGTGCCCCTCTCCACCTAGGAGTCTTATAAGTACCGGCAAATTTTCAAGGAAGCCTGATAAAATGCTGGAGGGTAACCTTGCAACGAACTGGCATCCCATCTAAGGAGGGGTAGTGATACTCTTAGTCGCTGTATGCTGTGGAAGCCGCGATAAGCTCCGGATGGATGGGTTACTTAGTTCGATTACAGACTTAAGCTCACTGTTACACGCCAATTTTGGTCAAAATTAAACTAACGTTTTTTTCCATTTTGTTTTGCTTTTTTTTTTTTTGCAGTCATTGCAAGTCTTTGTCAACAAGCACCTGGCCAAGTTGAGTCTAGAAGTTGTTGATATTGATTCTCAGGTACTTAAACACTTTTGTTGATCGTAGGGCACATAACTCAAGCTTGAGTTTTTAAGCGATTGTTAAGAGAAAAAAAGAGAATTAGCATTTTCAGGAACTTAGAGGTTTTCAGTGAAAAGCCAGTTACCGCCGTTTTACCACCGCATGTTTTGGCTCATCGCCGTCTGTTTAGCCTACGAGCAAGTTGCCGTGTTTGGATTTCGCCTTTTGGGCCGTTTTCTAGGCACAGCCGCCTATTACGTCATCGGCAGCCGCTTAGGGAAGAAGTTTTGAAAACCTCCTGGGGGACCTTCGTTCTCCGTGAGCATGAAGTTGCGTGGCTCAGAGAAACGATTGCGTGACTATTGTTGCAGCCTTTACAAACGACAAAATGAACGTCTTGATAATTGATGAAGTACGGGTGCGCGTACAAAGTAAAGCGATTGCGTAACTAATGTTGCAGCCTTTACAAATGACAAAATGAACGTCTTGATAAATGATGAGGTACGGGTGCCCGTGCAACATAAAAATGTAGTTTCACCCCGAAACGACTTAAGTTGTATTTGTTGTGTTTTCAGTTCCACGATGGTGTCTACCTCATCTTCTTGTTGGGACTTCTGGAGGGCTTCTTCGTTCCACTCTATCAGTTTTACATTACTCCTGCAACCAAAGATCAAAAGGTACAGAGCTAACATCGAAGACGATCAAATTGTACAATTAACCCTTTAGTTCTCAGAAGTGATTTACTTGTAACTTCCTCCTTAAGTATCTGTACATTTTTCAGCAAAAAGGATATGAGAATACTCAAACTCATCAGGTAGAACTAGTTGCCTTGATCTTACAACAAATTCTCAAAACTAATTCACAAGGAAATATGTAGCAGCTGGAAGGGAGAATTGACAATCAGATCTTGGGAGTTAAAGGTTAAAAAACAGATTCCATGTTGCCTTGCATCTGTTCACTAGTAGAACTCAGATGATGTTAAAATTTGGCAGTTGCACACGATGTTACTGACATTCTCATCGCATTTTAACGTAATCTGTGATCTATTATTGTACAGACGCACGGTAACGTGGAATATATTTGTTTCATGTGATAAAGAAGTAAAACATGGGGGGAGGGGGGGATGATGTCATTTATGCGTCTGTCCCCCAATAGATCATAAGTGAGAACCAATCAAAATTCACGTAGAATTCAGCTTATTATTTAACCCTTTACCTCCTAACATTAGTATTTAGTTGGTGATCATTTTCTTTATTCTCGTGACCTAAATGTTTGATTCAAGAGTGATGTTGTAAGGAGATATTAGATGCTTGTCACTCTTAGGGGTTAAAGGTTTTATTCCGTTTTAAGTCATACGTGTTTCCTGTCACAAGTTCTGTGGGGACCGCTTTACATTTATTTATCATGCTGTTTTAGGCACAAGAGACACCGTTTCTGGTCTAAGCAGTTCTTCGCTCTTCCTAGTAATTTGACTTTAATTGGTGGGGTTCTAACAGTGATCTTGCCCCTTTACACCATAACATCAGTATGCATATTCTTCATTTTGTTCTCTGCACGTTTCCAAAGGTTCCAACAAGGGGAATCGTGAATTTTTTTCTAGTTGGTAATAATTTCCTTCAATCTTGTGACCTTTATGTGTGATTTAGGGGTGACAATGTGAGGAAAAATTAGAACCTGTCACTCCGGGGGTTTAGGGGTTTAGGGGTTAAGTGATCCTGGCACTGAAATACGAGGGGTATCAAATACCGCAGAGTGTCAATGCTGACTAAAGTGGCCAATTTACGTGATCAACTCAGTGGATTATACTTTTATACCACGGGCGGCCCAAGCTCCAGTTGTGACATGATCATCTTGCGAAATAAGAATCATGGCGAAGTTGTATGTATGGGTTTGTATGGGAATATTTACGACCGCTCCTAGGAATAAAAATACAGTCAAATTCTCAATAAAAATACCTCGCCTTACTTCCACAGTGCATCGCTTGTTACCTGGCCTCTTACTATATTGAAAAGGACCCATTTCAGCGAGTTATCCATTTCTAGGTTTACTACTCATAAGAGACGGAGAAGTAATAAACCCAGAAATGGATAAGTTAGTAATACTTTTAATGGAGGCAAGGTGAGGTATTTTTAAAACTCTTAAAACTCTTAAAATTTCGTCATGACTCTTATTTCGTAAGATGATCATCTCACAGCTGAAGCTTCGGCCGACTGTGGTGATAGTCTACCAACGACGCAGCATCTCAGTTTCTTTAGAAACGTACCCCCTCTATTGAACTACATAAATTCCATCGTTGTTTTTCTATCCACAGCTCCATAATGTAACCTTAGCTATTGATCTGATGAGAGACAGTGGATTGAAGTTCTATGCCAAGCCTGAAGGTATGGACAAATTGTAAAACACTCTGCAGGAGTCCATTATCGAAGACAATAATACTTGTGGTTCTTACCTTCCCCACCCCCCTCCCCCTCTGACCCTGAACTTTTCCATAGTCTTACTTTGCGTGACGCTTTGTCTTGCAGATGTCGTTCATAAGGATCTCAAGTCGACATTAAGAATCCTTTACTGCTTGTTCCAAAAGTACAAGAGCCTCAAGTAGTTCAGACTTCAATCTGCCATGGCTTGCATTTTAGAACAAAATAGCAACGAGGAAGTAGACTCCAACCTTATTGTATTAGTTAATATTTATCACTTGTCTGAGTTGGTTAGATTTAATAACTACTCTGCTTAATACCTTGACAGAATTCTTCCGAAATCTCCCTTTCGTTTGGAAGAAGACGGACAATCAGTTATTGGTGAAAAACAAACAAAACAAAACAAAAAAGCAAACAACCATTTGAACAGGAAAACGTATAAAAGAAAACAAAACTATGTAAGGGCAAAATGATAATTTTCTACTCAAATGTTCCATTTTTCACTAACAACTCAATATGTCCACACAAATGGACCTATTGACACGTGTAGAGATAAATTATTTGTTGGAAGCCATTTCCCACGCCGCACGTCTCCGTAGTGCGGCCAGAACGTTTTGTAATTCGCAATCGTGTGAACACACTCAAGCATGATATGAAATACCGCCGGAAATTGAATATTGACGGTGACGCCAGTTCACCAACAGCTGTCACGCCATCTTGCAACTTTTCTCTACAATGATGTGGCGTGACACAAACACTTACGACTATAATTGAGTGATGGACATATTTCTAAAATGCGCGGCTTCTTGTAAACAGCCACTTTATTAAAAATATTTTGTAGATTTATTTTTATACAATATTTTTTAATAAAAATAACTTTGTGTTCGATTAAATTTCCACGGGGTTTTCGATTACAGCAATCGAGGAATAACCAAATGAGGGAAAAATTCAGAAAGTTACATTTTATTTTTCTTTAATTTTTTTTGTATTTATTCCTACTTTATTATGATTTTTTTGGAGCTATTTTGTATTTCGCTTTTAACCCTAAGTTGGGTTCAAATATCCCATTTCTCCTCCATTAAAAAAAAGTCCACTCTAACTTTCACAATTTCAAACCTCTTTTCTCCCTTGGCTTTTTCGCGATATGAAAATAAATGAAAGGATTTTAAGATAAATAAACCCCTTTCTGGCTTGCAAGTATGTCGGTTGATAATTTCTTTGTCTGAGAGTGTCCACAAAATTTCACAATTGTGCCTTCTCTCAACTGCGGAAAATATCAGCCGGAATACTAGCCGCCCGGAAGAGTTTATTCAAGAGGTGGAGGCGTTAAGCGATAAAGGGTTTGGTTTAATTATCTGCCCACCTTTCCCAAGGTGTTTTCGGTCTTCAAATCCGGTTGGAAACGCCACTTCCTACATTTTCAAAGTGTTGTTTACAAGCTAAAATTTTGTAGGAACGTTTTTATTCAGTATTGTTCAAATTTCTAACCCGTAAGAAATTTGTGATGGTCGGTTTACCAGGAGAGACAAATTTATCAAGGGTTTCGAGCAAAGCAAGGGTTTCTCCCGGCCGTAAATTTATGAAAATCATATATGTGAACTGCGAATTCAGAAATGAATACGAGAGCGATCTTCGCAGTATTGAACACTACATAAGCAGTAGTGGAATTAAGGCTTGAAAAAATTTAGGCCTGAACAGGATTTTAACTCATGACCACATAGATACTGGTACAGTGCTCAACCAATTGAGCTAATGAGTCAACTGAGTCATTATTTTGGTTCATAATAAACCCTTAAAGTGAAGAATAAATGACTGTGAGTGTATGAAAATCATATATATGAATTGCAGTAGGTTTACTGCTTAAGTGGTATTCATCCCTGCGAAGGTCGCTTTAATATTCAGATTTCTCTCTAGAAGATGGAATGATTCTAAATAACACCAAATCGTTTGTGTCCACGTGCTTATTCTTACGTATGCGACAAAATGCAAGGGAACTCGGGGAACTTGATCTTAAGTACCAGGAGAAAATAATTGGACTTTATTTTCCTTTGACTTACATATAATAATTAGGCGTGGAAGGACATGCGTTACGTAATTGAAAAAAAAAACATAATGATTGAGCGTGGAAGGACGCGTTACGTAATAGAAAACATTTTTTGGTCAAAACATAGAGGTGGTATGTCAGTTCTAACGAAACCCTTATGCTGCAGTAGTGTGGGGAGTATTACGTTATAATTTGGTTTTATTAACTTCTTTGATATTGTAAACTAGCCACTGTTAAGAGTTTCTTAACTGACGTTTCGAGCTTTAGTCCTTCGTCAGAGCCAGTAGAGGAATTGTGGGCTATGTACCGCGTGTGAGAGAACGATGGAGCCACGCTTTGTCCAACCAACCGATTAAGTTATTAAAGAGTGATTTTCGCTCACAAACATTTGAATTGAACCTTAAAGCAATGAAAACTGTTCAATAGCTTTAAAAAAGTAGAATTCATCATGATTTAACATTTCTGTTCACCATAACGAAAGAAACTAACCGTTAGCTGTAAAGCGACCAAAATTTTTTAACTATTAGCTATCTGAAAACTAAATAGCTCGTGTTAACCTTGGCGTAAGTCGCTTTAGGCGCTGTGGATTCCTTCTTGAAAAAATTCGTGCGTGCAAAATTAGGGAAAAAAAGAAAAGCGTGCTTTGTAATCGCCCTTCGCTTACAATCAATTCTCATTCTTTTTCTTCCAAAGGCGTCCTCAGGCCTGCCAAAAATACTTTTCAAACAGCTTCAAGCCGCATTTTACTACCTGTCGCCTCAAGTGTGGTTTAATTGATTATGTAGTGCTTAATTTCTATCCTGAGAATAATGATAAATTAGTGGAATGAAAACGCATAAAAGGCTTGGACCGAAATGAATGGTTCTTTCATACGTTATTTAAGAATTTGTCCATGCTTAGCGTGCGTATATCGAGTTGTGGATGCACGCGGGAAGTTTGGAGAGCACGAAAAATGCGTAAGAGTAGCTCGAGGCGCAGCCGAGAGCAACTCTAGCTTTTTGAGTGCTTTCCAAACTTCCCAAGTGCATCCACAACTCGATATACGCACAGCTAAAAGCATGAGCAAATTCTTTTATAACAGAGTAACAATAAACAAAAAAAATCTTACGTCATCTTATTTACGCACGAGCTTGCATGAATAAAGATTTTGTTCGTAGCGGCTCAATAGGACTTATATAAAGCAAGCACGCGCGCTATGTTATAAGAAAAAATACAAACAGATATGTTTTAGTTTGCTCATGGCTTCCTGCCTGGCTTCCTGCCATGAGCCGTGGTTTTACGGACAATTACAAAATCAATTCTCTTACAGTGAAAAATGTATTGACAACAACAACAGCAGACTCGTTGATTAGCATAAGAAATGGTTGCCGATTGAAAATTTAGTGCCGCTTTCTCTATCAACAAACAAACTAAAATTATGGTTAATGATCTTCCCGATGGTAACGGAAACTAGGAAACCGTCAGCAAGGAAAGTCTCATCCTCATTGTCTCTTTGGTGACCCACGCAAACGCCGGCATCAATGAAAGCAGTTATTGTGATCTTTGCTTCCTCCTCTGTGTTAATTGCTAGATATAAATTGCCGTAGTTAAGACATCGCCGGGAACTGAAACGTCCATTAATACCGAGATCAGCACTTCTAAACACACCGCTCTGGTCAAATTAAGGTAAGGGATGTGATCCAAGCTCTTTCATTTTTCAGTCATTTTTTTCTTCGCTTACTCTGGGGGTCAAAATTCATCATGCAATTAAGTCCATCTGACCCCACGTTTTGCTGCAAGTGATGCTGAGGCTTCTTGGAAGCCAGAAACTCATAAGTCCTAGAGTTGCCCAAGTGAGTCAAGAGTGCGTGATTCACGAGAGAAAGGGAAAAAAAGACGTTGCTTTGAAATTTATATAATATTCTCGTCGAAAAAAACTTTTTTGTTTTGTTTTGGACAACCTTATCAGAAAACTACCTGAGTCTCAAACAAACCCTCATTCACTAAACGAGTTTTGATATAATTAGTGCTCCTGACTGAGGTATCGAGAACGGAAAATTCAAACGAGTTTCATGTTTGCAACTCAAGTATATCTCAGAGATTATTATGGTCTTTTCTAAGCATTCAGTCAGTAAAGCGGAGCACGTTAGAAAGCGGAACATTTTGCAGCTACTGGAAGCAAAGGTTTTGAAGTAAAACTTGAAAGTCTCGAGCGCATGGAAAAATTTTATATCTAATTTGGGGAGAAAACGCGCAATTTTAAACAACATCTACTCAAAATACAATTTGCGTTGTCGCGTAATGGGCTTCGTGCAAATTTTAAGCTATATCTTTTTTTTACTTTTAATTAATCTATCTTAAATTTTTCTGATTTAAAGAGAGTTATTTTTACACCAAGATTATGACTAGGTGATTCCCTAGGAAAAAAAAAAGTTATCGAAAAATTATTTTTAACTTTCCTTAAATGTTCCTTACCAATTCTGTTTCGAAAATACAATTTAAGGGATAGGTCACCGTGCTTGTTTAGGAAATATGTTTATGTCTGTACTGGTGCTAGTCAAGCGCGTCATTTTATCGGTTCACGGTACATTTTGCTGCAGCTGAAAGCAAGGTTTTTTAAATTAACACTTGAAAAATTTTAATAAGTATAAATTCTCGAGCGTATGGAACAATTTGATATATAATTTGTGGGAAAATCACGCAAATTTTAACGACACCGACTCAAAACGTTCCTCAAGTCGTTCCTTTCAAGGTCATAATTGCATCGTCGAGTAACGGGCTTCGTGCGCGCTTTTAGCTTTATCTCTTTTTTCCCTTCGAATAATTTTTTTTTAATTTCCCCAATTTAAAGAAGATAATTTTTTCAACAAAATTATACCAGAAAAAATATCAGTGACTGTGCTCCTTCTAGAGCTTAGACCATCGTACCTCTTTACCTCCTCCTCGGATTGAAAAACAATACCGTGTTCTCGGAATGCGCGCGCGCTCATTCCCCTGATTACGTAATTACAGGTGCAAAACTAAGGAATCACCTTACGATAAATTTTGACGGAGCCACCCTCATTATCCTATCGCAAAGGAAAGTCATTAAAATATATTCTGGTCAGAGCTTGGCTCTGAGGGCTGAAGACTGAAAATATCTTGCGAGTTGCAGGATTCGCTCAGGCCCGTCGGCACTTTAAAACGGAACGTTGTTTTAACGAGCGTTTTATAGAAGCTAAATTTCTTGACTCGACCCAAGCCCCTTTTTTTTGCTCCGCCACTACTTTCCGAACTGAAGGCCTGAGCTAGGGTAAAAGTGCGAAAAAAAAAAAAAAAAGGTTGTTCTGTTCCTTCGTTCATATATGGACGCAGCTACTCCATTGGTTACTTAATTTCGTGATCATGGAATATTTTTAACAACAGCGCGATGGTCGTATCATGTTGTTCTATGAAGGAAGCTATTCGAGAAGCCCTTCGTTTGATTCCAAACGAACCAGCTGTGAAGGATAAACAAATGATTTTTCTAATTATTTTTTTGCACTCCTTCCCCGCACGTTACTCGCACTTCGCGCGCGCCTCGCACGCGTCTCGATTTAACAGGAAAACTATAAAAAAATTACGACTGTCCTGCATGCTAGTAGAGCTGATACACACGAAGGGTTTTGCGCCCAAGTGTTGCTCTGAGCGCATACTTCAGAAGCAAATTATTTGTCCTTGGGAGCCGAATTTTTATCCCACAAATCGCTTCAATATTTATAATCGACTGATACAGTTGGAAGGATTAAAAATGCCCCTCGTGTGTACCCATGGTGCAAAAAGACTCTAGGGAATGCTCCAGAAGTAAATCCCTTTGTGTGTATCATCATTTGCTTTACGCTTAAGGCACGT